CAAATTGAGGCTTGTGATTTACAAGATATTATTGACTATGTGAAAAAAAAATATCAGCCGGAAAAAATAGGTCTTTACGGCTTTTCCATGGGGGCGGCCACTTTAATTTTTTGAGTGGGTTATTTTGCGGGGTCTGGCAATTCCGAAGTGGTATTTGCTATCTGCGAAGCTCCCTTTGACCATTTTAATACTCAATGGAAAAGAGCCCTAGGTAGCGGAATAAATTACTATTGAAGGCATTTTTTACTAAAAAAAATAATTAAGGAAACCCTTCATTCTTCGCGGGAGAAATTGGAAAAGGTTAATCCTTATTTAGTTCTGCCGCAGGACTTGCCAATTAAATTATTGCTACTTCATGGTCTAGAAGATGCAGTAATTGGTTGACAAGCCTCTTTTAAACTTCATTATCAATTAAGTAAAAATAAACTAAACAAAAATAAGATTAACCTTTATTTGTGTCGCCATGCAGACCATGGCGAATTGCCTTTTTTGGGGGATAATATTCCCAACAGTTTAAGGTGAAAAAAAAGGAAAAAAACCTCTCAATACACTTTTACTGGGCTTTTTTGTAATTATTTAGAAAAGAATTTGTAGAATAAGATGAAAAGAGGATGATTGAGGTAAATTTAATTGTTATTACTTTAGTTCTCCAAAAATTTAATTAATTAATAAATGACGGTCATTGAGCGGTTAAATGCTAAAAAAATCGAATTAGAAGAAAGGCTAGCGGGACAAAACCAGCAATGGGGAAGTCAACGAAAAGAAACATTACAGCATAAACTTAAAAAAATCGAAGAATTAATTACTGCTTACCAATCAACTTCTTCTCCAATTAATTTGTCAGAAACTGAGGAAGTGCTTAACCAACAAGTAGGGTTTGCCGAAGAAAAAGAAAAAATTTTAAATAGTTTAAAGATTAAGGATTATTGCGAACAAAAAAATGTTAAAAGAGGACCTCTAATTTTATGCCTGCTAGGACCTCCCGGAGTAGGAAAAACTACTTTTTCCCAACTCTTAGCCCAAGCCTTAAAGAAAGAATTTTTTATGGTGGCACTAGGAGGAATGTCGGATAGTTCTCTACTATTAGGAGTTAGTGAAAGTTCATCCGGGACCGAGGTAGGGCAATTAACTAAGGCCTTAACAGAAACAAAAACTCACGACCCATTAATTTTACTCGATGAAATTGACAAAGTTAGTTCTTACAAAGGTAATTCTGCTATTCATAGTTGTTTAAATGCTGTTTTGGATCCGGTGCAAAATAAGGAGATTCCGGATTATTATCTAGATGTTAAATTGGACTTTTCCCGGGTAACTTTCATAATTACGGTTAATGATGAGTCCGAAATCCCTCAATATTTATTGTCAAGGATGCCGACGATTGTCAAATTACGCGGTTATAACCTCGAACAAAAAAAAGAAATTGCTTGCAAATTTATTCAAAAGTGATTTAACCAAAATTCAAGCCTTAATCAGAATAATTTTGAAATCACTTCCGAAGCCCTCGAAACTTTAATTAACAAAACTAAGGAGAAAGGTGTTCGACAATTGGAAAAAGCACTTGATAACATTTTTGATTATTGTCTTTTGCAGTGGGCTCAGGAGGCAAGCGAGGGAGAACCAGAAAGTAAAATAGTTATTGGTTCTGATTTAATTCACAAAATTATTCCTCATGATTTTTATAATGTTGACCTGGTAGATGACCAGGAAAAGGCCTCAAAAAATAAAGATGAGAAAAGGGAGTTGGAAAATTTACGCCGAGAATTAGCAACCCTACGAGGAGAAAAAAATAATCAAACTGAGTTAAAAGCCATTAGGTTTAATTCCCTGCTGGTGCTGCGACAAGTTAGAGGACAATTTACTGAAAAAGAGTATCAGGATTATGAGGGGAGAATAAATGCTGCTGCCTCACGGGAAGAAGTTGAGGTAGTTGTTAAGGAATTTTTACTAAAAACTAAGCAAAAAAATGCCTCTTCAAAACCTACCAAGGAAAACTGGGACAAAGAAATTCACGATGAATTGACAAGAAATAAAGACCTAATCAAGATTTTGGAGGGAAAATTTAAACTTTTTGATGATGAGATAAAAAAACTAAAGGGAGAAATTCAAAGTTCTCGGGAACGAGAAAACAAAGATAAAACCTTATTGGTAGTAGTTATTATTATCTCAACAATTTGAGGAATTTATGGAATACTTAAAATACTAGGTTTTTTTAGGAAACAAAAAAGAAAGAGAAAAAATAATTAGTTTCGAAAGAAGAATTTAATTAATGAGAGAACTTATTTCTTTTTCCCCCTTCCTTTTCTTATTAAAATTACTGTTCCTAGTCCTATTATTATTAATCCTACTATTCCACCA